CTACTCAGTTGTGGGAGAGAGACTGTACTATCAGGGAAGGAGTGTGATTCCAAGGTCTTCCATCCACATTCCCCAGCTGCTACAGGAGTTTCATGGGAGTGCCATAGGAGGGCATTCAGGAGTGCAAAAAACTTATAGTCGGTTAGCTGCTGAATTGTACTATAAGGGGATGAGGAAAGATGTAGAGGAGATGGTGGCGAAGTGTGATATCTGTCAGCGAAGCAAGTACCTGACGATGGCACCAGGGGGATTACTACAGCCTCTGGCCCTACCAGAGAAGGTTTGGGAGGAGATTACTATGGATTTCATTGATGGGCTCCCAAAATCAGAAGGCTACATAGTTATACTTGTAGTGGTCGACAGGCTGAGCAAATATGCTCATTTCATTCCCTTGAGACACCCGTACACAGCAGTGTCTGTAGCAGCAGCTTTTGTGTGGGAGATAGTCCGCCTGCATAGGGTACCAGAATCCATTATTTCTGATAGGGACAAGGTGTTCCTGAGCCATTTTTGGAGGGAGCTATTTAGGATGCAGGGAACAGTATTGAAGAGGAGCACAGCCTACCATCCACAGACTGATGGGCAGACGGAGGTGGTGAATAGGAGCTTGGAGACATACTTGAGGTGTTTTGTGTCTGAAACACCAAAGCAGTGGGCCAAATGGCTAGCTTGGGCAGAATACTGATACAATATCTCCTTTCACTCAGCTACCAAGATAACACCTTTTAAGGTGTTATATGGGAGGGACCCTCCACATTTTGTACACTACAGTCATGGTAGTACTCCTGTATCTGCAGTGGATCAGCATTTGAAGGAAAGAGATCAGGTGTTGGAAGAACTCAAGAAGCATTTACTTAGAGCCCAGCAACTTATGAAGAAGCGGGCGGACGGCAAAAGGAGAGATATACAATTTGCAGTTGGGGACAGGGTCTACTTGAAGCTCCGACCATACCGACAAAGGACTATGGCCCAAAGAAGAAATGAGAAGCTTGCAGCAAGGTATTTTGGCCCTTTTGAAGTGGAGGAGAGAATTGGAGAGGTGGCCTGTAGCCCTGTAGATTGAGGCTCCCTCCAACAGCCAGAATACACCCCGTTTTTCATGTATCACAGTTGAGGCGAGTGGTGGGGGAGCATGCAGTGAGCCCAGAGCTGCCCAGCCAATTGAGGGAGGACATGGAAGTGACATTGGAGTCTCTAGCGGTAGAAGGAGTGCGCATCAACGAGAAGGGGGAAAGGGATGTGAAGATTAGGCGGAGCGGCCCCAGACTACGAGGCCACATGAGAGCCATACGAGACGGCGAAACAGCAGTTTCCTGATTTTCACCTTGAGGACAAGGTGATTCTTTGGGAGGGCGGTAATGTTAGACCGGTCCAAGGAGAACCGGTCCAGCCGGCCCAACCTCTTGGGCCGGCTCATCTCGTTTACTCCAGGAGGAGCCGGCGGAAACAAGCAGAGGAGAAGGGGTGGGGTCCACTTGAAATTTGAATTGATTCTTGGAGCCAAAAGGAGGGGAAACAAGGGTAATTAGGTCATTTTGTATTAATTTGAATTGTATGCATTAAGTAGGGAGAAAAGAGGGGAATTAGGGATGTCATGCTTGGTGAGAGTTTCTTTTGTCTTCTTGGATAGTGAGGGCTCTAGATCGAAATCTAGAGATTGGGAGAGTGCGATCCTCCTCTCGAATAGAGGATCCTTGTATCTTTGCTATTTGTTGCATCTACTAGTAAAATACAAGTCTTTTCTCCATAACTTCTACAGTTTTTCCCTATTTTTCTACTGTTTTTTGCTGTTTTTCTGCTGTAGACAGCAGTTTTCCCTTGGATCTACTTGGTTTTGGTGAGAAACACTTGGAAATCCAAGTGTTTCTTATCAGACCTCTACTACATAAAGGATCCCTCGAGCATCTTCTCTTCATGTTCCTTTGCGATGTCGACAAAGGCGGCAGCTTTCCATCCCACCGGGGATCTGCCGTCGGAGTTGTGGAGGGATTTCTGCAAGAGAAGCTGCTGCCACAAGATCAGGAGACCGTTTCATTAGGCTCATCATTCTTTTCATCAGAGTCTGTAGTATCTTCCCCGTTAGCATACCCAACCTCTGCTCTCCCTTTGTCTCTCTCGTTCGATTTTGCAGTCCTCAAGCAAAGCACCGAAGTTTGAGCCATGGCGAAATAGAGAAGATGAAAAGCTTTCGTGGAGGAAGAAACGATGATGTTCCCGCCACAGAAGGACGAAATGACAATTAAAACATTGTGTGATTTCCTTTTTCTCTCAAAACGGGCGGGTTTCTTTTACGCGCAAAATGAACTACAACGAAGGGTTTAGAATACTTTAGGATTTAATTTTACTTTCCTCCGTGTCAAACCAAACAGGGAAAAAGCTCAAATACGCATATTTGATTTACTTTACACACTGTTTACTCTCCCAACCAAACATCCCTTAAGTTTGAAAGTCAAATAAGTGTAAAATATTCTAAATGTCAGGGTTTTTAAAATATTGGAGTTTGGCTAAAATAAAAAGGAATGCAAAGTAAAGTAAATGAAGAGTAAACCATTTTAATTCGTTTTTTAGGCAAACTAAACTCGCCCAATTTTGAGCAATAGCTGTTTATACCGCAAGCAAGCTTGATTGACCTTCGTCGTTGTTCGTCACCACCCATAACCTCCACCCACCCCTGGTAGCAACCATCCGCCACCAGCAGCCAGCCACCACCATCCCGTCGTCGGCACCTGCAGCCGACCACCACAACTACTGGACACATCCAGCCACCATCGCCGACCAACATCTTAGGACTTTACACTACATTCATTTACTTCAAACCGAAAAAAAAAAAATAAAACATCCACCTGCATTTATTTTATGCTCATTCAAACAGCTCCAAAGTATTCTTTTTTACACTGCATTCCTTTTTTTTAGCCAACCAAATATCCCCTAAATCGTACTTATTGCCAAACAGCCCCTTAGAGAGGGAGAGAGGGATAGGAAGGAGGAATGAGAGAGAGAAGGCTCGGGAGGTTAGTTTGTTGGAAGGCTGCAAGAGGTGTGGTGGCCGGCGGCAGCTTTGGGCTATGATTTAGAAGAACGTTAAGGGACTGTCAAAATAGGTAGTTGGGAGTGTGGTCGTCTGCAGAAGTTTGGGTATTGGGTGTTAGGGCGGAGTGTTGTTGTGAGGAGAAAGCTAAGGGAGACGGGGTGAGTGGGAACTCATGTAGGGAACTGCAGCAATGCATTAACGGGCTGGTGGAGTTGGAGCAGGTTCGACGGGGTTGGGGAATCGCACTGCTGCAGGAAGAGGAGAGGAGTGAGATCAAGTGGTGGTTTGGCTGGGATGCGAAGAGCTCGACGGCGGCTAGGGAAGAGGGAAGAGGAGGCTGGACTGGTATTGTTGGCTAACGGCTAGAAATTGCCTAGCTGTAAGGGTTGTGGTTGCTGATTTGTGAGAGTGTGAGGGACGAAGTAGGCTGGTCTTACAGGTGCGAGGGAGCAGGTAAGGAGATGGGAGAGCTCAGGTGAGGTGTTGTTAGGCAGCTAGGCAAGTTGGGTATGGAACGGCGTGAGAGAAGCAGCAAGAGTCGGTGTTTCGTGTGACTGAGTTCGTGTCATGTGCAAGAAGAGGGGAGAGAGTTGAGGCCGAGAGTCCAAGTTGAGTGAAATGAGAGAGGATAATTTAGTATATAAATGTATTTTTTTTAATTAAATCGGCGACTAAGACAAAGACACGGGCAGTATTCAATAGCGATAAGACAGGGAGATGGCAGGATATAAGATTTGGTGATATATATATAAACACATCAAATGATGTGAATAGTCCTCTCCCTCAATTCATCGCTCTAGTGCGTCTCAATTTAAGTGTTTTAACATGCATGAGTTTGGGCTTGTGTGTCGACCGAGGCAATATAGATTTATATTTTGAATAATTTTGATATTTTAAAGGCGACCACAAAATCCATTTCGTGAACCAACGTCATTTCATGCAACATCACAACCTTAGCTCATCTTTTTTCAATTATTGTTGCTTGATCCGTATACGAGGGATTCCTCTTAGATACTTATTGTTCTAGATATAGCATAGAAATACTTTTTGCAATCAAATATCATTCTAGTGATTTTGCGCAATGTCGTACTTATCGTTGCTTGATCGAGCCTCGCACAAGCAGCTCTTCTTCGATAAATTCAATTACTAGATCACATTGGTGCAATATGTCTTGCAAGCAGATGACCTTCGAGGGATTTCGACCACAATTGAGGAGCTTCGAAGCTTGTTACACGAGACATCTTATCAGTCGATTGTCCTTTTCAAGCTTAGCCTCCTCCAATCTTTTAGATTAGTCAGGTAGCACGACCTAAGACTTCCAATTTTTTAAGGGAGTGTTCAGCTCAGGCACACCTTTTTTATCTTTAATTTATTTCATTTTCGCACTACTTCATTTTTTTGCATACTGATGCCTTCATTTCAACATCTCATGAAACACTCATCATGAATAAATGGAGCCAATAAAAAATAGTTGAAATATATCTGGTGATGATGCTGAGATAATGATGATGGTTAAGGTAGAACAAAATTAATAAAGGAAGAAACAGTCAGATATATGAAAGTATGCTTCTTCAAACACAACTATCTGACAAGAAAGCACACTCATAGCATTCAAAAGGACAACAAAATGACAAACTAATAATTCAATATGCATCTGTGAATTCTACTTCATTCTATTTCAAGCATTATAAAACCTGAAAATAAAAATACCTCATTTTAAATTCATAAAGCACCCATGGAAACATATAATAGGGAGGGTGAATTTAACAGCACAAATACGTGTTTCTGTACCGAAATAAAAGCATTTTAAATTTTTTTAAAAAAGGCGAGTCAAAAAATATCCAATATCCATTCAAAAAACATTCCTTTGGAAAGAATATTCACAAATTTCAAAAGTTTTAAGTTATTTTTCTTTATCAATCCTAACCTAAGAGCATCAATCACAAAAGATGGTCAATAAAAAAACTATTAGTTATTACATAAAGTCTCTAGTTTCAGATAACTTAGTTTATCAGCAATGGAAGAAAAGGGGACTCAGGTAAAATGATGGCCTCGTGGATTAAACAATGTTAACATAAACCAACAAGCGCCCCAACCTTACATCCAATTTAGATGCTAGTTTCAATCATGGCATGGCCGATATCAGCAAGTTCCCTAGTACTAAAGTATGCATACTCTTCCTCTAACAAAGACTGAATAAATGTTGACGTAGCTACATTTAACACAATTAGCTGCAAATTCATTAGCTTGCTGACAACTCTCCCATAACATCATAAAAGTACATAATAAAGTTTGGGATACATAAATGCCTGAAATAGAATTAACTTATTGGAAAAAATACAATTTCAAGAAATGGAATTAACTTATATTGTTAAATTGTACATCACTGGGTTATCTCCATGTAAACGGGGAAAGTAATCAAATGCAACAACAATATTCCATTGAACGGTGCAATAAGCATACCATCTAGTTCTTCAATAGCCTCTAAAGCATCTCTACGATCATCAAATTCAACAAAAGCATATGCAGGACGCCTTCGAGAAACCCAAACACTGTGTATGTACCAAAAAATATGTCAATCAATTGCAGTATACTGTCAAAAAAGTTAAAAATGACTGACTACTATCAATCAAAATCAGCTTTCAATTAATGTGCTTACTCAAAGACAAAAGTAATCAGCTTATCTTAATTCAAATCATTCAAAATTTTACCAAACATACATTTCATATGAAAACAAACTATTCCATAAAGAAGAACCTTCATTTATTACAATGTGCTCATATGCGTTGCTGTTCTTTGCACAATCTAATATTGATACAACATTGTAAGGAATATCAGAACACCAGAGCCAGAATACATGTAATCACATCAAGGATCCAATAATAACAGCCCTTGTATAAGTGTTATATACTACTAGACATATTTTTTCATGATTACCACCTCTACATTCTTTCATAAACAGTACAGGTATAATAATAGATACATGCATCATTTAATTTAAAATGCTTTCCTATTCTTAAAATTTCAATGTTTGTTAGCTAACAAGCATAAGACCACGTAAAAGAATGCATAATTGCATAAACCACAGCGAGCGTACTGCAGCATGCATATCCCTAATATCATATTTAAATCTAACATTTATATGGCAAATCGTGTCATTTATATAGGTATATCACAACCACTATTTCCACATAAAAAGCATAAACTGCTTAACAATGGATTGCAATAGTAATATGAAGAAAAAGTGGAAATGGACAACTTGATGATGATAATCAATTGCATTGGCAGGGCACTTGACTATATTTGTTATAATAAATGCTTGTATTTGAATTGAAAGTTTAGTATCATCCATATTATTAAAAATATGATAACTAAAAAATTAAAAGAAATTTTAAAAATAAATTCCTTAAGTATCAACTTATATAGGGGTGTCAATATTTGACACAACCTGAAAACCTGACTCGAACCCAACCCGAAAATTCCGGGTTAGGGTCAACTCGGACCCGAAACAAGTAGGGTTCGGGTTTAACAATTCGATCCGTTTCAAAAATCGTGTCGGGTTCGAGTTAACCCTTTGACCCGAAATCGACCCGTTTTTTACCCGGAAACCCGTTATGACCCGAAAACTAAAGATTGACCAGTTTTCAATCCGTTTTTGACCTGAAACCCCGATTTTAACCCGAAAACTAATAATTCTTGGTCAGCCCCAGGTCATTTGGGTTGTGTCAGGTTGACACGGACCCGAAGCGGGTCGGGTTCGAGTCCAGAAAACCGACCCGTTTGCAAAAACGGGTCGGGTTTGGGTTGACCCGAATAGTATCGGGTCAGTTCGAGGTTAGACCCAAACCCGACCAGTGACCCGAAATTAACACCCCTAAACTATAGCGTTATAGCTTTTTTTTTTAGCAAGATCTCTAAATAAATATCAACTTAGCTGACACCTCTGAATGTAGGGAGATTTAAAGTGCTGGTGGACAATGGATAAATATTATTCTAGATATTTATCTTCGTGATATTAATTTTGTAATTAAAAAAAGAGCAATACTCCAAAACTCATGTTACGAAAAGGACCGCAGATTTTATCACAACCAACCATGAGTTCTTAGCTCTTCAATATCATAATAATAAATCAAACTTTAATATTCGAGACTCTGACATAATATGCAAAGAGTCATTAAACGTAATAAGCTCCCTTTCCTTCGCAATGTCTAAGGCGCACAAACAAACGGATACTAGAGATTGAAAAACTCTATCTTCTAAAGATAAACAAAGCTTTTCTCTAATGCATCTGTACTAACATACGAAATTAAACAAAAGGATAAATTCTTTTTATTTTACTAGACCAGAATGAAATTAGCATAACACTAACTCCAGGATCATCTGTAATTGTATAAAATCAATTTTTACGTTCTGCAAGATCAAGGATTACTTTAATGAAAGTATGCTAACTTTCTCAAAGATTACCTCCGCAGCACTCCAAAAACTTGAAACACAGTTTCCAAGTCCTTCTCCGCAATATATGGTTGCAAGTTACCAACGTAAACTCGGGACATCATGATATATGGATATCAACCTATCGAGAAGAACAAAATAAGCAGCATAATGAAATGAAATATTGAAAGCCTGTGCATTTGGTAAATGTTATCAATTACTTACCAATATGGTTTATCAAAATACTGAAGTGGGATTATTTTTCAGAAATTTCTCAATATCAATTTAAAAAATACTGTGGGAATTTTAATCAATAAATTTTACAATGGGAAAAAAAAAAGACATCCACAAAAAAAAGCAAAAGTTTATGAAGTTCAACGCTAAAAGGTTCTTGAAATGATGCTACAGCTATAATAACTTCAACAATAAAGTTTTTAAGGATGGAGCCCTCAATTGAAAACCAATACCAAGTTGATCCATAACACTAACTGAATGTGAAATGTAAACCACAATCCAGGACACTAGTTGTGAGGACATCTCGACCATCTAATCTCAGTGATAGCCCAAAAAGAAAAAACCCAACACAACTTTGTAAAGATGAAAAAGTTAGCTCTGCAGTTGAGTAGGGACTTCAATCATCCAGATAGTTACAAACAAAGCCTTCGCATGGCCAAAGATTGCAAGCAAAGTATGAACTTAAGAAACCAATGAGGCAAGGACTGAAAAGGGGTGACGACAGTTAGATAAAAATGATAGAGTGCAGCTAAAGGTTCTCAGGCCGCACATATATAGGGAAAATAGTCAATGAGAACTTTTTGTTCTTCATATCCATATCTTAAATTGATCAAAAAGAGAAAAGGAATGAAATTCATGCACCGAGGAGAGCAAAAAAAGAATCCTTTGTGATTGGTCCCTAAGTTTAACATTCCTTTTACTTAGCCTTCTCAACAAACCATAATTTTGTTGGGGATGTGGAAGTAAACCATGCAATGAAATAAACCAAAAAAAAATGCAGCGGAAAGTAAAGGAAACCAAAATTTAACGTGGAAAAACTGAAATGGGGAAAAAACCACGGAACCGCACCACATTAGATATCCACTATGAAAATTTGAAAAAATAAGTATAGATCTCTCTTCTCTCTCACTCTCTCATTGCTTTTCTTCTCACTTACCGTTCTCACACACTAAA